CCTGCCAGCCACCTACACCAGCCAGCCGTTCAACCTGCCGCTAGCCCTCCACGGCAGTCTCGCTCACAATGTCAAGCCGTTCAACTCCTCGCCCCACGCACATCTTCAAGCCGTTATCAATCGAGGACGTGATATTATGGTATTGTAATGTATTATGTGGCGGTCCCCGGAATATCATCGAGGACGATGATGCTCTTCTGTGGGCGGGGCGTGACCCCTACGCCAAGTTGGAGGCTTTGACTATTCACTGGTTCATATGCACTAACAATAAACCTTCGTGCCTATTTTGTTCTGTTCCACTGAACCACCGTGTTTTCGGGTAGAAATACCTAAGTCTTAGCCACCCACTGTAACAAGAATGAAAGCAAGTCAAAGTCCCAAGAAAAAAGTGCGGAAAAGCTGGGAAGGAGCCGAATCACACCAGATCAGTACTCAACAGGGGGCCGCAACGCGCACCCTCGATAGGCCGATTTTGATGCGCTTATAAGCGTTATAAAGATCTACCGGACAGTATGGAGTATGGAGATACCCGAAGCTCGTCATTGCGCCGCGGGAGACTCGCAGCACTTTCGCGTAACAAGCTGCAATTTGTCATTAACCACTATTATCGAGTGTCTTCGCTTTCTTTTCTTGTTTTTTTTCAGACCATTTCCCGATTAGAACCTGGCAGATTGCCAAAGCTCTGTCGCAGACGTGGCACAGTTTTCTCGCGCGGTTGCACAACTTTAGGCTTAGGGTAGGGCCATTCCGAATTGACACAGCCTGCACAAAAAACTAGGGTGATTCCCAAAGATAATATTTTCCAAAACTGGAAAGATAAATCTTGCGCTGTTATTAATGAGAAAAAAAGATGGGAGCAGAAAGGATGATAAAAATCAGATTAAAAAAACAACTATTTATATAGTGCGCAATCAATTTATGTACAAGAGCTGAGCACAAATCTTGATAAAATTTCCTAGATACACTACCCAAGGGCAAAGTTCCTGGCACCACCTTTGACAGTATGCTTTGTCCACTACTTTTTCATTTGTCCGTGCCAATGCTAGATTTTTCCTACCAACTCCACTTCTTTGCTCTACCTATACTACAATCCACCCAGGTCGTTTCACGTTTTATGCAGCCTATTTTTAATACTTATTTCGGGTACGGAGAGGACTGGCAAAAAAGAGGCAATTTAATATTAACCCTATTAGTCTTCTTGTTAGATACTCGTCAAGATTCGTCTTTGGGAATACGCGCAGGAGTTTCTAAAACCTTGGTGTCTTCAAATGCACCAACTAGGTGTACCGTCCTTAAGTTACCTGCATCGTTCTACATTCTTCCCTACACCTATCATTCTACCTCCATTATTAGGCACAAACATACTGTAATTTACCTGGAAAAAAGCAAGCAAGGAAGTAAAAATGTATCCCTAGTGCTATAATTCTCAAAAATCTGTCTGGAACCTTGAC